TGGCTAAACAAAACAGTGATAACGCGGGAATTTAAATAAAGCGATAATGCAATAATTTAAATCAATATAATTTTATAAACTGGGATTCAATGTGTTCAAGGATGATGTGACTTGCCTTGCTCGCTTTCCCAAACGTCGACTTCAACTTCCACGAAGAGCGGATCTTCCGAAGCTGCAGCGTCTACACGACCAACGAAAAAGAAAAGGCTTTTACTCTAATAAACTCCATATAACAAGCAGAAACAAAGCACAAAAATGGGTTCTTGACTTCTTAAGGAAAAATTAGAGACTTGAACGGTCCAATTCCGTGTTCAAATGGCCAAGTTATGGTCATTTGAAGTTTATATGCTCTTTAAATGAATATTTGCGAATTTCTTCATTTAAATTTTAATTTAAAAAAAAAAAGGTTTATTGCGTCAGCCGAGAGGAGGGGCGCGCGGACCGGGTCCACGGGAGTGGGGCCCACGCGGCAGCCTCACGGTCCACGGTGGACCGGGCGTACCCGGGCTCGCACCGGCCGGCGCCGTGGGCCCCACGCGTCAGCCGCACCTAAGGGCGCGGGCGGCTGACGGCCGGGCCCCACGCGGCAGCCGCTAGGCGCGCCCGGAGGCGGCCACGTCGGTGCGGCCGGCGGGAGGCGGCGCGCCTGCGCCCCTATGGTCGCCGGCGGCGGCCATAGGCACGGCGGAGCGGCGGCCGAGAGAGGGGAGGGAAAAGGGGGAAACGAAACGGCGGTCCACGGCTCACCCCGGGTCGACGGCGACGACGGAAACGGCGACCGGAGCGGAGGAAGGCGGCGGCGCGGCTCGGGTGGACGGGGTCGACGGTGCTCCGGCGGTCGACGAGCGAAACGGAGGGGTGGACGAGGTCGGCGAGGATGCGGCGAAGCCGAAGGAGGCGGCGCCGAGGTGGGAGGTGGTCCGGGGCGACGACGGCGGCGGACCGGAGCTCGACGGCGACGGCGGAGAGAGGGAGCGACGGCGCGAGCTCGATTCCGGCGGTGAGAGAGGGCGGTGAGTGGCGGAAACGGTGGTGGGGAGCTCGGGGAGGGTTTATATAGGGTTGGGAGTGAGAGAGGGCGGCCGGAGGAGGGGGAAACGGGCGCGGGAGACCCGGCCGCCATTAATGGCGCCGGCGAGGTTAGGGGAGGGGTTTCCAAATGAATCCGAGGGAGAGAGAGAGGGAAAAATGGGGGGAAAGGGGGAGGGGATCCCGGGGAATAATTCCCCCGTATTGATTGCATGCGGGGAGGACGGGGGCGGCGGGATTCGCGGCGGCGGCGGCGCTAGGGCGCGGGCTAGGCGGCGGGAGCGGCGGGAGGAAGGGGATGACGGGTGGGCCCCACCCGTCAGCGAGGGTGGCGGGCGGTCCCGCCCGTCAGCGGCGCGCGCGGGGAGAGGCCGGATGGGCCGCGGGGGAGAGGAGAGAGGGGGAGAGAGATGGGCCGAGCCGGCCCAAGAGGGAGAGGGAGGGATAGGGGACTTTCTAGAGTTTTTCTTTTTATAAAATCATTTTAACTTTGTTTATTTCTTAACAATTATTATTTGTGCTCTGAAAATTCCACTAAAATTTATTTATGCATTTTAGGCTTTTAGGAAATATACAAAAATCCTCCAAGCCTTATTTGACTTTTAACTTTGCACATTTTAATTGTTGAAGGCTTGCACACAGATTTTAATTATTCTAGGCATAATTTTAAGGATATATTTTAGAGTCGTTTTGGGACGTGACAGGGTTCACTCTATTTTCTTCCATATAAATCATGCTTGTTTACGGTTTACATAATGCCTGATATTTATATATGCTCGTTATATCCTGATAATGCTAGAAAATCCATGTAGTTTTTTGAGTACACACTTGATATTATCTGCTATATATCTTGTCTTCTAGAAAATATTTTTCAGGAATAATTGAGCACTCAAGTAGGTTGTGATCAAGTACACCGCATTATTGAGAACAATCTCGACAAATGCAGAGTCGTCGCGCCCAACCTACCAACAAAGACCGACGACCTATCTCATAGCGCCGGCCGTGGCTGGACTATTTGAGAAAAATGTTGTTAACGGATAATTCCTCGTGAACGTTGTCGGCTTGATCACCCGACATGATTGCGAACGGACATCCGGATATGCTACAAGTTGGGTGTGTGAGTCATGCTGGCCACATGAGATACACATGTAATAAACCAACTCTAGTGCTTCCATTGGTGTTCGAGAGATGATTCTACTCGCTCGCTGGTTCTCGAACCAGTACGTAGCAATCTCCCGCACCGCAACCTCCATTGGTGTTCGAGAGATGATTCTACTCGCTCGCTGGTTCTCGAACCAGTACGTAGCAATCTCCCGCACCGCAACTTCCATTGGTGTTCGAGAGATGATTCTACTCGCTCACTGGTCCTCGAACCAGTACGTAGCAATCTCCCGCACCGCAAACTTCCATTGGTGTTCGAGAGATGATTCTACTTGCTCGCTGGTTCTCGAACCAGTACGTAGCAATCTCCCGCCACTTCCATTGGTGTTCGAGAGATGATTCTACTCGCTCGCTGGTTCTCGAACCAGTACGTAGCAATCTCCCACACCTCAACCTTCATTGGTGTTTGAGAGATAATTCTACACGTTCGCTGGTCCTCGAACTAGTGCGTAGCAATCTCTCAAACCGCAACCTCTATTGGTGTCCAAGAGATAATTCTACTTGTCCGCTGGTCCTCGAACCAGTGCGTAGCAATCTCTCGCACCGCAACCTCAGATGGTCGAGGTACGGCTACAGCAATAACGCAGCAGTCCATGCACCACAACTTCAAATGATCGAGAGACACCTACTCACTGGTTCTCAACCAGTCAATCGTACCGATCTCTCGTACATTCACTTCTAGTGGTTGAGTTACGACTACTACCTGGTTCTTGACCAGAGGTGTAGCGATTCTCCCATTACCTCTACTTCAACAATGTTGATATCAGGTGCACAATATCGCCAAGTGTTTTACCCAGAGATCCCTTACCACGAAAGACACCTAGCGTTGAAACCTAACCTAATGTCCCTTTACGCCGTCTTGACAAAGTCTCTGAGGAACCTAAGGGAACTTCGGCTGGGGACGCCCAGAGCGGATAAGGCTTTGTCGGATCCTTTAGAGACGAAAGACCATCTAAGATCTGGTCGTTTAAGAGTTCTCGCCGTGCGTATTAACCAAGCCGTGTAATCGGAAATGAATTTTCTAACTTCACAGCTGGGGGCTAGGATCAGTGCTTGTTCAACTAAGCCAGGTCAAAGGTCCAAGAGCCTTATCATCCGAGAACGATTCTCCGACGATAAGGCTGGGGGCTAGGGAGAGTGTATAACTCAACAAACTGACTGGTCGAAGTCGGTAAAAGAGTAGACGCTCATACACAAAACATTAGTTTGTAAACCTAATTCATTTTCAGTTTTTCATATATTCTATAACACGTTACCCTTTGAGCACTCGCTCGGGGGATATTTTTATCTAATGTTCTTTTCTGAGTGTTGATTTCAGGAAAATTCTATTCAACATTGTCGAAGACTTCATGTCTCTGTGGTTCTACACCAAGATCGACTAAGGCGAGTACGACAAATGTTGACAAGGCTCCGTCGTAGACTCTGCGCCTTCTCGATCACTCAAGAATGGTTGGTGGATCTCAACAAGGAATACGGAATGAAGAGATGGTGTACCCGCCAAGATAAAATTTCATGACTTCAATCCAAATTCTCGATTACAGCAAGACGGGAGACTTAGTCGTATGCTCTGTACTTTCTTGGTTGACGTTGGAGATTGACTCAGACAAACCCTTTAGGTGCCTGCACGAGGCTGATAAAGGAAATCTAACGTTATCTCTGAACTCACCGAAAACGGTCACATGAGCTCGATAACAGTTCCTCCAAGGTCTGCTGTGGAGAATAGGAACTCGTTCATTTGCATTGAAGTCGGGGGCTACTGTCAGGGTTATGGATACCACATACCTAATAGTAGTTGACTAAATCTTAGCAGGACCCACCACATACCATGTCCTATACGGAAACAACCTGCGGATATAGGAGGAGTTATGGATAAGGAAAGACAACCAGAGTTCTATATGGAAACGACAAGGACTGCTCGGATTGTATCCATATTGGTTTCCCTAGTTCTACTTGGACAAGGGGACACTTATGGGTATAAATACAAGACCCCCTAGGAGGAGAGGGGACACGACCACCTCAATCAACACCAACCACAATCAACATACACGGAACAATAGAAGCCACAACATACAAACCAACATACACCAAGACAAGACGCCGGATATCGACTTTAGGGATAAGCACGGCTAGTCCCCTACGGTGTCTCTGGATACTGTCAGGAGAGACGAAAGTGCTATCTCTGACCTCACCGGGCATGAACTCGAGGAGGAAGACTACCCTGTTGTCGACTACGAGTCAGACCTACAGACCGCCATGTCGACAACAGTTAGATAGGCTACCCCAAATATTGTACTGGTGTGATTATGGTGAATAAGAGCAATACCGGCTTCGGCCAACAGGATGTAGGGTTATTACCTGACAATTCAGGGGCCCGAACCTGTATAAAAATCCTCGCCTCTGTCTCTTTTACCTCAATCTCACGTATGTCCTAGTACCGACGATCCCCATACTATGCAAATACCGGAATCGCGACTTCAAACGTCGACTGAAATCATATCTTGATGTCGCTTGAAACAACATATTTGCATGAAGTGACACGTTTGCTCGACAAGGGCATGTCATATTCACAATGATCATGCATATGTGGCCTTTCATATGCGCTTATTTTAGTAGTGGATGAAGAATCCATGTGGATTGCTACATCTTTACGTGCTTTGTATGGTCTATGATTTTGTTGTAGTGGATTTAGTATTTGCCATATGTGCTTCATGTTTGTTCTTATTGGAATTAAAGGATGGACATCCTTTATACGCTCCATTTATATCTTAAAGACAAAGTAGCTTCGGATCGAATGTAAGCACACAATAAAATTGTAGAGTACCAATGATAGTAATTAGTTACGACGATGTACAAGGATATATCACACCGAGTTTCTCATGTCAAATATATGATGATATCTGAGCTTATTTTTAACTTCCAAACCACTATATTGTTAAAACTCAGTACAATACACCGCCAAGGGTGGTAATGCTACTAGGTGCACTATAGTACCTAGGGTAGATACCATATCTAGATGGCAAGTTCAAAGCCAACAGAGCTTGAGCTTGAGCTTGAGCCAGATTCCGACCAAAGTAGAGATCATCAAACTGCTGGAGTTGTAGCTGTTGCGCTATGGCCTGAACAATGTTAATATCCTGATAGTGAGACTGTTGCGCCACCAGCCTGAGCTGTTGCCAGACTTGGTTGTTTCTCAGTTGAAATGCAGCTGATTGCAATAAGGGGCTTGCCGCTATGCCATACTGCTGCCTTACGAACTCATTATATGGGCTAAGCACATGTTGCTGTAGTAGGAGAGGCGACTGCAGCTGATATTGCCTATAACTTTGACCTAAAACATCAAACTGCGCAGAGGCGCTGTTTGCAGCAATAGCAAGAAGAGCAAAGACGAAAATGATCTTCATTGCTACGGGACACTAGATCTTTCTTTTTTTGTTGTATAATGCTTGAACTGTGTGAACGATGGGGAGGGTTTTCATTGCGCTTGTCTATTTATAGATGCAATGGCACTGATTTTCTTTCAATTCCTCATCGGTTGCTTTGGAGTGTTAGTTTTGCTTTCATGTCCTATTAGGATCCAAGTGAGTCATGTCATTCGGACACATGTTCTATTAGGTGCCCCAACAAATCCCCTTTGATTTCATCACGAAAGTAACTTTTGTGTCCATCACATATACTCCCTCCATCCAGTAAGGAGAAACCCACTTCTAGGGATGAACCTGGACAATCATTTGTCCAGATTCATCCCTAAACCCTAAACCTTGTCCAGGTTCATCCCCTAGAAGTTGTCATTTTTGGGATCGGATGGTGTACATGATGGTTAGCAGGCTAGAAAGATAATGATATGACTCATCGCTCACTTTATACGTTAGTTTGGTAAGGATTGCAACCATTATCTAGCTATATTTGTTATGTTTTGTGAGCTATTATCCTATATACCTATACAAATCATCCCCACTACTAGGAATTCTCTGCATCCTGGTGATTCCACGTCATCTTTTTTCTCTAGCCGTTGGTTTCTAATCAAACGATCAAGATCACTGTCGCATCGACTATCCATTAAAATTTGATTGACATTGTATCTCACTAACTCACGCCTAAAATTAGGGTTTCTCTCCTCTAACGCGACGCCTTGGAGTTTCACCCTACCTCTCCGATCTGGGTTGATTTTGTCCCGGAGTCGGTTAGAAATTCAATCTATGGCTGCTCTGCAAGTCGACGTGAAGACGAAGAGCGATTTTACTGGATCTCATGGCGAGCGCAGCCTCTGCAACGGAGAGTCAGAAGTCGGCGAAACCTAAAGGATCCACGGCAAGCCAAGAAGATGAGGCAAAGGATGATATTGAGATGCTTTTGGAGGGTTTGGATCTCAGGAAGGACGAGGAAGAGGATGTTGAATTGGAGGAAGATCTCAAAGAGCTGGAAGCGGATGCCCGATGGTTAGCCCTAGCTAGGGTTCATACAGAGAAATCCTTTAGCCATGGTGCTTTGTTTGCCAGCATGCGATCTGCATGGAATTGTGCGAAGGAAGTAGATTTCAGGTCCATGAAAGATAATTTGTTTTCAATCCAATTGAATTGTCTTGCTGATTGGGAGCGAGTTATGGAGGAAGGACCATGGATTTTCCGTGGTTGTCCTGTGCTGCTTGCTGAATATGATGGTTGGTCAGAGATTGAATCTGTGGTTCTTGAAACCTATCCCACTTGGGTCCAGATTCATGATCTGAAAGAGAAGATCAGAACAGGGAGTATTGCAACTCAGTTAGTCCGTAAAGCAGGAACTGTCATCAAATTAGATGAGGCGTCAGTAAAAGGGAGTGGTGATGGTGTTCGAGTAAGGGTGAAAGTTGATGTTCGTAAGCCTCTCCTGCGAGTAGGAGCACCACTTTGAATAAGAAGAAGTGGTTTTTCCGGCTGATGTATGAGAAGATGCTGGTCTTCTGTGGGATTTGTGGTCTGGTGGGTCATGTCACAAAGGAGCATGGTGATGGCGTGCATCTTCCAGAAGCGATACAGTATCCTGATACTTTGGTAGCACCTGAGTTTAGAAGATCGGGTAACTGGTTTAATGGTGGCGGAAGAAAAGGCCGAGGCCAAGGAAGAGGAAGGGGATGGAGTGGTCGTTCTTATCGACCTGACTCTGATATGGCTGCGTATGATGGGGGCGACGATGAGGAGATGATGGATACAGCCACTAGCCCTTCAAAACAAGTGGCTAAACACTATGCTCCCTCTACATCCGTAAAAAAGAGATTGGCTCTGGAACAGGTGACGTCACCAAATCTGAAGAGCAAGCAGGCCCTACTACTGGAGAATACACCTGTGCAAGATGATGGAAATATAAATACTGAAGCTCTCCCAAAGGAAGTTGATGAGTCAAACAGTAAGGAAGAGGACAGTTCAACATCACTAGACAGTAAGCGTCAGAAGAAGGTGGATGAAGGCAGCAATACAGATGACTTGGCAACATCGGCGGGCTCCCTCGAGGAGTACCGCCGGGCCTAATGTCTATCCTAGCTTGGAACTGTCGGGGCATTGGGCGAGCCCGGACAGTTCAAGATTTAGTCTGCATGGTGCAGACTCACTGCCCCGAAAATAGTCTTCCTAGCGGAGACGAGGCAAAATCAAAACGTTGTGAGAAACCTAACATGGAGATTAGGTCTGCGACGCTGCTTTGTAGTGAATGGAAGGGGGAAGGGAGGTGGCATTGCGCTGTTCTGGGATGAAAGCATTAAAGTTGAGCTTAAATCCTATAATGTGAGACATATTGACGTTCTTATCACAGAATCTGATGGGGAAAGGTGGAGAGGAACCTTTGTTTATGGCGAACCACGATCCCAAGATCGACTCAAAATGTGGACTTTACTCCGTCGGATTAAATCCAATGCAGCGCTGCCTTGGTTGATGATTGGAGACTTTAATGAGGCTATGTGGCAATCTGAACATTGGTCTCGGGTCAGGCGATCAGAGAGACAAATGAAAGATTTCAGAGAAGCTCTTGCTGATTGTGATTTGCATGATCTTGGTTTTCATGGAGTGCCATGGACGTATGATAACAATCAAAGAGGTGCAAACAATGTAAGAGTACGACTGGATCGAGCAGTAGCCTCGCCAGCATGGCTGGGCAGATTTAGACAGGCAAGCATCACACACCTTGTTACACCTAGTTCCGACCATGTACCGTTGCTACTGGAGAGATTAGAAGAAGAACTTGTTCATAACAGTGTGAAGATAAGTCGTTATGAAGCTATTTGGGAAAGAGAAGAATCCTTTGACTCGGTTGTCCAGCAGGCATGGGGAGAAGGAGAAGTTGTGCGCAACCTTGGGGACTTCAAAACCAAGATGGCATACACAATGGACGAACTTGTCAAGTGGAGCAAATCAAAGATTGGCAACATAAAGAAAGGTATTGAAAGTCGCAGGAAGAAATTAGGTGAACTCAGAATGGCAGGGATGCTTGACTCTGAACCAGAGGTGAAAAAGATCAAAGAGCAGCTTCAGGAAATGCTTCGCCGTGAGGAGATATGGTGGAGACAGCGATCTCAAATCACTTGGCTGAAGGAGGGTGACAAAAATACAAAGTATTTCCACCTGAAAGCGTCCTGGCGAGCTCGGAAGAATAAAGTGAAGAAATTGCGCAGGCCTAATGGCAGCCTGGTGTCAAATGAAAAGGAGATGGGAGAGGTTGCCCGTGATTTCTTCCAGAATCTATATATGAAAGATGAAAATCTTGACCCTACTGAACTTTTCAATTTGTTCCAGACAAAAATAACAGCGGAAATGAATGAGTCTTTGATGAAACCCTTCTCTGAGGAGGAGATAGGAGACGTCTTGTTCCAGATAGGGCATTTGAAAGCGCCAGGGTCCGATGGTTTCCCGGCGCATTTCTTCCAAAGAAATTGGGACCCTTAAGACTGATGTTATTAGAGTGTGTTAACAGTGAAATTTGGTAAGCCTGGAGTAGTCAACGGCTTAGAGTCAGCATCGGCTTTGAAGTCTGAGATTAGCCGATGAGAGTTGTCAAGTCGTCAGTTGTCGGATTCTTGCTATATTCGGTTAAGGAAATTGATCTACTAAATGAAGTTTATCCAGAAGAGACCGAGTTCAAAGAGAATGCGGCATGGCAAGTTATCTATTAATTAGGAATAGTTTGTAAGTTTCCTTTTATCTTTAGGAAAGTTTCTTTCTTGTCCTACAAGGACTAGTATCTACCCATAGGTATAAATATGTACACCCGGGGTCATTGTAAACTATCTTCACGATCAATACAATTCGGCGCATCGCCACCCTTTTACTTCTACTTTTGTTTTTACGTTCCGGCGGAACTTGGCACCCGACATGGGGCTGCATCGTCTTCGATCTCCGGCGAAGGGATCAGTCCAATGTTCCGTCGGCCCAGGCAATTGTATCGTCTACGTCGGCATCGTTCAAGGCTGCATCAGTACATTCGACCTCTTGGATTACTCTGGTTTGGATAATATATTTGCCTGGCTATTTATCATATGTCTATGTTAATCTAGTCCTAGCATCTCAATTTAGCTCTATCGGATGTCTCTCACTTTAGGGTTTCTGCCGGTATCGGCTAAATCGCCTTGCTAGATTAGATTAGTTTAGACATCTACCACCCTGAAAACTCAGTCATCGGCTTGATTGTCTAGATATTATTTTTCTTTTTATGCTTAGTGCTGCATCAGTTAAGTTTGATCTACTAAGTCGTGCTTAGAACCATAATTTCTAGCCTGCTTCTTGATTGCCAATAAGGGTTTCATCGGGGTTACAGCCAATGAGTTATCTGGACGTTGCATCGGCTTACAAGGATTGCATGTACATATAAGTTGGATTTAGCCGATCGCAACAAAGGTTTTACTGTTTTATCTAATCCTGTGGATTTAATGACATCGGACCTCCAGCCGATGTATGCTTTAACCTTCGGATCAATACTTGTTCTACTATATCATATTGTTAGCCGATTGGTTTCTACTGGGCTATTCGGATCAGTGCTTATTATATCTTGTTTCTAGCCGATTGGTTTCTACTCGGTTATATTGTTATTTTATTACATCATCATCAACCGATTGCCTTTATATCATTATCTATATTGGACATATAGCCGATTGCTTAAACCCTATCGCTATCGGCTGGTATCGACATCGGCTATTATCAGCTATCGGTTGGAACTACTCCATCGGCTTGTCAGCCAATCGGCTGTTTTATCTGCTGTTTACATATTTTGTCAGTTGTAGGATCAAATTGACTGGCACGCTCGCATCTCATCAATCTTTGGAACTGCACAGGAGCTAAGCAGATCTCCCAGGCCGGTGTGTTCGATTTTTTCGTCAACAGAGTGGTACAAGCATTTTTTGAAAACGGCGAAATGCAGGAGGGAGCAAATGACACTGTCATAGTTATGATTCCAAAAACTAAGTCACCGGAGGAGATGAAGGATTTCTGGCCCATCAGTCTATGTAATGTGATATACAAGGT